AGGAGGGATCCGAACTCGTTGGCGCTCCGTCTGGGCCCCCGGAGAAGCAAGAGCGGCTGGCCCCGAAGCAGGCCAGCCCTGGGCCCTGAAAACCTTCCCTGGCGCCCGCTCGTCGTATCCCGCGCCGACGGTCCCAGAGATCCGAGGTCGTGACTTCTTCAATACGGGGTCCCCAGAAGTCTCGACCCATTCCCCAGGACCGGCTTGACGTCCTGAGTCGATTGTTGACGCTCCCGAGGCCCGGCGAGGGCCTCTGGAGGCCGACGACGGCGAGAAACCTCCGTCTTGATCTGTTCCATGCGCTGGATCCCCGGGGTCCTGGGGCACTGAGAGGGCCCGAGGATGCTGAGGGTGGTGACGAGCCTCAGGGCCACCCTTTCCGCAGGGCCCATCCTCCTCAAGCTGCGGCAGCGGCGGCCGCGCCGGCGGCGGCCGCGCCAGCAGCGGCCGCGCAAGCAGTGGCCGCGGCGGCCGCGGCTGCGGGGGCAGCGGCGCCGGCAGTGCATCGTTGCACCCTGTCGGGCCTGTCCCCCTACAGGGGGAATTTGGACGAAAAATGAAAAATACTCAATTATCCCGGCAAAGCAACCTAACAGCGATGTGTAGGAGCATATCTGGAAGCATTCCCCTTAAGATTCAGATGAGAATCCAGTTGTAGAATTCTGCTGTTCTCGCAGTCGTAGTCGCATTCGCGATGACAGTCGCAGTGGCAACGGCAGTCACAGACACAGCCTCAGCCTCAGCCTGCCTCAGCCTCAGCCTCAGCCTGCCTCAGCCTCAGCCTGCCTCAGCCTCAGCCTCAGCCTGCTTCAGCCTCAGCCTCAGTCTGCCTTCAGCCTCGGCCTCAGCCTCAGCCTGCCTCAGCCTCAGCCTGCATCAGCCTCAGCCTCAGCCTCAGCCTGCCTCAGCATCAGCCTGCCTCAGCCTCAGCCTCAGCCTGCCTCAGCATTCAAAATGTGGCCCGGGAATGTAGTTCTGGGAACTCGAAGAACACGAAGTGGCCTACAGTTGGCTCCGGGCATTCAAATCATGCCCAGGAATGGAGTTCTGGGAACTCGAAGACCACGAAGTGGCCTACAGTTGGCTCCGGGCATCCAAAATCATGCCCGGGAATGGCCTACAGTTGGCTCCGGGCATTCAAATTCATGCCCAGGAATGGAGTTCTGGGAACTCGAAGACCACGAAGTGGCCTACAGTTGGCTCCGGGCATTCAAAATCTGGCCCGGGAATGGAGTTCTGGGAACTCGAAGAGCACGAAGTGGCCTACAGTTGGCTCCGGGCATTCAAAATGTGGCCCGGGAATGGAGTTCTGGGAACTCGAAGACCACGAAGTGGCCTACAGTTGGCTCCGGGCATTCAAAATGTGGCCCGGGAATGGAGTTCTGGGAACTCGAAGAGCACGAAGTGGCCTACAGTTGGCTCCGGGCATTCAGAATGTGGCCCGGGAATGGAGTTCTGGGAGGTCGAAGAGCACGAAGTGTGTGACTGTATGCGAAAAACGATCCCCCCCGGAAAACCCCAACGGCTCCCCAACGGCTGCCCAGACCCCCCTGTGGAGTCATCTAGTCAAAAAATGCTCAAAAGATGACCCCAAAATACTCAAAAAATAGTCCCTGGACTATCGCTTGACTATTTTTGGATATTCCTCCTGTAGAGGGACGGGCCCGACTGAAACCGAGGCCCATCCCCACTGGCATGGCCTTGGTCCTGCAGGCCGGTTTGCCCCCCCCCAGGTGGGGCGCTGTCCCCCTTGGGTTCCGCGGGGCCTTTTCCCACCTCGGGGGGCGAGTCGGGGGAGAGCCTCGGACCGAAAGAAATCAGCAGCCAAGTCGGGAGACGTCGAATCGGCGGAAATCGGCAAGCTGTAAGCCTCCACTGAAAACCTGGCATCCGGATCGGAATCCCGAGCCGAATCGAATAGGAATCGGCAACTCTCGAGATCGAATCGAATCGGAGCTATCGAAATGAACCCTGTGAGCTGTCGGGGACGAGATACAATTAGGGGAACGAAGAATGACGTAAACCTAAAAACTCGAAGGTCCGCGCGGATTTCTCGGATCGGCGATGGACCCCCCTGGCGGCGCCTCCGGCGCCGCCCCTGGCGCGCTCCGCGCGCCAGGGAGGGGGTTCCAGCCACTCTCTGAGACATCCGCGCGGACCTCCGAGTTTTCTATTTATGAGTATCGTTTAACCGATCCCCATCCCCAGCGGCGTGGCCTGGGCCCCACTGGCCGACTTACCCCCCTAGATGGGGATATAGGGCGCTCCCCTCGGGGTTCGAAGGGTGCACCCCCAACTGGGGTGGTAAATTTGGTGGGCGTCTCGATGGGGCTGAGGATGGGGATTGGGGTCGGATAAACGATCTTGTTCCCCTAACCACGGCCCCGTGGGGAGGAGGATCGTGCCGCAGACTGTGGGGCAGCGCCTAGCGCGGCGGCAGCGCGCGCTGCCGGCACCGGGCGGCAGTGCGCCCCCGGCCGACCGGCGGCCCGGCAGCGCCCGGGGGGAGGCCTGTCTCCCGGTGCTCGAGGCGGACCCAAGAGACGTAGCGGTCGCCCCACTTGTTGTTCCGGACCTCGGGCGCGCACGCCCACCGACCGCGGGGACCGCCTCGAGCCGTCTGGGAGAGGCCCTACCGGCCCCCCGTCCCGTCGTCGCCGTCACTGTCGCCGTCATCGTCATCGTCATCGTCGTCGCAGTCGTCGTCGTCGTCGCCGCCGCCGCCGCCACCGCCGCCACCGCCGCCGCCGTCGGCCTCATTGTCGTCGTTATCGTCGTCGTCGTCCCTGTCGTCGTCCCTGTCGTCGTCCCTGTTGTCGTCCCTGTCGTCGTCGTCGCACGGCGATCGACGAAGCATCCATACTCCTGAGACATTGCCGCCGACGGCGATCAAGAAGGGTGAGGACAGAGGAGGGAGGAGGCGTTCGGAAGTCTTCGGAGGGGCTTCGGGAGGTCCTGGGCAGGCTTCGGGAGGCCCTGGGCTGTTCTGGCGGACATGCTGTGGGGAGGGGGGAGCAGCGCCTTGAGATCCGACGCCGCCGCGAGCTAAGATGCCACATCGTGAAGCATCACGGCAGGGGGCCCTGGACCCATTCTGCCGCTGCCTTGGGGCCCGGCACCGGCCGCCTTCGGGGGAGGGCACCTCCCCGGATCCATGGACCTGGCGACCGCGCGCCAATTCCACGGCTCGCCAACCCATGCCTGCGCGCCCCCGAACGAGGGGGCACCCCCCCGACGCCGAGGACGGGGCCCAGACGCTGGAGCCTGCGGCCCTCGAGCCTCCGGGGAGGCCGGCGGGTGGGGTGCCGGTCGTTCTCTGCAGCGCCGGGGGCGGTTGCCCCCCGGATTCCGTGCTTCTCGCGTGCGTGCCTCGCCGCAGGCGCGTGGAGCACGGCGCCCCAGGAAGAAAGACGTGGGCGCCAGGCAGGCGGCACCGCAACGTCCACACGCGCGCGAGAAAAAGGAAGCCCAGGGGAGCACGGAGGGGCAACGAGCAGGCCGGCCGCGTGCCGAGCCCGCGGAGCCGCAGGCGCAGCGAAGCTGGGGCCCAAGTCTAGCCACAGCAGCCCGCTTTTTCCCTCGACACGGGAGCAAGAGACGCCCTCGGCGGCGTCTTTCATGACACCTGCGGATGGCGTGGGAAGGGGGGGGGCAGGGGAAGGAGGGGCGGGCGGGGACCTCGAGGCCGGTCGGGAGGGGCCGCTGGGGAGTCCCTGCGCATTGGCCCGAGGGCGGTGCGGAGCAGAGAGCGCGCGGCAGGGAAGCGCTCGACGGCGTCGACAGCGTCCGACGACGCTCGACGCCGCCACCGCCGCCACCGTCGTCGTCGTCGTCGTCGTCGTCGTCGTCGGTGGTCGTCTTCGTCGTCGGTGGACGTCGTCGTCCTCGGTGGTCGTCGTCGTCGTCGAAGGTCGTCGTGGTCGTCGTCGGTGGTCGTCGTCGTCATCGTCGTCGTCGCGAGACGATCGACGCTTCCCCCATACCCCATACACCTGCTGATGCCCACGGGGTATGGGGCATGGGTATAATCTGTCGTCCCTGGAGGCCAGATTTCTGGCCATGCCTCCGCTCTGCCCGCTCGTAGGCATGGAACGTGAGCACGAGTGTGTAGAACGTCGTCGTCGTCGGCTCGTCGTGACCGTCGTCGCCGATTCGTCACGGTCGTGGTCGTCGTCGCTGCCGCCGTCGTCGCCGTCACCGCCGCGATCGTGGCCATGGCAGTCGACCCACCGCCTTCTTCGGCGCTCCTACAGGAGCATCGACCTCGATAGGCAGGGTCCCCCGTGCCTGGCAGAATACTTTCTTTGGGAACGGAATGCCACCAGAAAAAAAACAAAGTACGCAAACCAAGCCGAAGAGTTTGAGAGCCTGGCACGTGAGCAGCAGCATTCAGATCGAACAAATGTCAGGTCGGGCATGTCCCCCTACAGGCGAATCTTGGACGAAAAATAGAAAGTAGCCAAAAAAACTCCAAAACCAAATGGTAACAACAAATCATCCCTAGACTATTTGTACTCTTTTGGATACTCCTTCTGTAGAGGGACACGCCCGACTTGAAACAAATGAATCGTGCAGCATCAGCCAATTCTTCTCTCGAGCTCGTGACGAGCAACCGCGGAGCCGCGAGCACTGCTGAAGAGTGCTAGCCGTCGAAAATGTCGGCTTGACTCGTCCCACGATTGATCGGAAGATCGAGGTCATGCGCCAGGGAGGGGGGACCCGGCACGGATCCAGGAAATCCGCACGGAGCGCCAAAAGTGTATGTTTATGGCGTTTGTTCTTCTTCGAGATCAAGAAAACGAAACGGGGGGGCCCGACTCGCAAGATCGTTCTCTGCCGCCTAGGGAAGATGCAGATGCTGGAGCACGCTGAAAAGCGATCTCGAAGACGATGGCAACGCGCCCACAGGCAAGCCCAGAACCCGATGTATCAATGATCGCCCTGCGACCTGCTGCGTGACGCCCACCCGAAGGATTTCGATTCGTTTTCCTACATAACCC